TTGTGTGTGTCGTTATGACACAAAATCTTATTCGTTATTTGATTATTTCATTTTTTAATAGAAAAAGCTAATGTCACAATTCCTACCCCTAATGTCAAAACTGCTACCCAGACTCCAACACTATAAAGCGAGAATTAATTAGTATAACTTTTTATTATAAGTATAATAATAATAATAATTGTTGGAAGTGCAGTACAGAGTCACACAAGGTCACGTGATCCAGTTCACATGATATCGTCTATGCACGTGCCTCACGCACTTCTACAATATTACTACTATTATACCTACTATGATCTTAGTGATATTCCAACAACATTAATAATAATAATAATAATAATAATAAAAGCTAACTTACTAGTTCGCGCAAGAGTTTCTTATTCGACGCCAAAAGTATTGACACTTGCTTTCGCTTAAGTTTCGACTTCTTGTGACGGAACAGACGGCTCTCTTCCGTCCACTAGCTTATACTCCCTATGTAGTATGATAAGATGGTTCTTTTAGATCTTCCTTTCACAGCTTAGAGCTTTAGCTATATAGCTTTAGACCTAGGCATCATACATTGCTTATCTCTAGTTCTCCTTTCACTCCTTTGGGCCTAACCATTAGCGCCCCCAAAACCTGTATATATAGTCCTCCTTTTAGCATCCTATATAGCTTTTCACTTATAGATTCTAAGTACACAATCGGAGTCCTGTTTATACCCTTTTGGTCACACTTCTATTAAGAATCAAAATTAATCAGACTATATTGAAAGTATTAGAGAAAGATCTAGAAGATGAGATTTGAAACTTACGAATTTCCATCTAGAGTTGCTGAATCTCGCACTAGTTGTCTAAATAGATGAAATTAGCTCATTGTATATTTATTACCCTTAAAGATTGAAGTACTAACGCTCTCTCCGCTATTGATGGCCTAATAGTAAAACAATCAGTATATAGACAATCAGTATATTAGATATACTTTAATATCTAATCAAGAGATTAGGGAAACTCACTCATCCGTGAGGATCGGCTCCGTCTCGGTAGTGGGTGCTGTGTTATCGTTCGATAACCATTGTCCGTTGTCTATAACTATTAGTTAGTACTAATCTGGGACATTATCCAGCCTACTCGGACTATAACATCTTAGAATGATACTCGAGTATACAAGACTATCTCTATATCAAAGAATCTTGATTTGATGTCTACTTCAGTACTTCTTCGGATTTATTCGACTTATCTTACTTGTGCTATAGGTGTTTCTGTATGTATTCTGGGATATCAACTTGAATATCTTATTATGTTGTGGGTTGGTAATTTAATTATTGTTTCTTGTTGTTTTGTACAATGCAGTAGTATTCATCTATGTTGTATACTTATCTGTTTGAATTTGAAACAGAGCTCCTTCCAATGTGCCACCCCAGTTGGACATCTCATCTCATTTCATTCACTCATCTATTCTTGAAAGCTTTTCGAATTCAGGAGACAGCTACTGTATGGATGTATGGATGAGCGAAAATTATACAAGAAAAACAGGTAAGTTGATGTGTGATTTGATTGTAGGAAGTCAACTTAACGATTAAAAAGTTGATTATAATTCCTCACTCTAGCTAGACTGGAATGAATGGCTTATTATAGGCCAATCATAACAAAGAAGGCTGATTAGAAAGAGCTAAAATCTGAAGAATCCATAATTATCTAATTAAAGGCTTGAAGAGCCTTAATGGCTACGAAAAGAATGGAAGGGCCTAAATAGGCCGACACAACTATTATAATGATACATGAATTGAGACTGCTTGGTGCTGGAATTGTTTTGATGGTTTCGGCCTGGTTTCAATATCTCATTAGATATGATATGATTCTTCCAGCACAAGGCTAGTAGTAGAAGGCACTCCCCATTTAAATGAATCAGACTTCCTCCATATATTTGGGAAGCTCCATATCTGTGGGAGTTTCTATATGACTGGGAGGATGCGTATTCCCACTCAATGATCCCTCCTGACTTTCGAATATCTTTCCAAAGCCCTCACTCTCTCTTCCGTCGAATCCCAAGTGGCGCTGGAAGCCAGTGTAGCGTGCATATCCTTCCAGAAAGGCGTTTCCCACCATTTGCCACATGTTTCCGGTGAGCTTGGAAGACGTGTCAGCAATTGATAGAACATCACCGCATATATTCGGCTTTCCTCTTGCGTCCGTCTCAATCCCGCAACCTGTTCTTAGAAATTTCTAAATTTCGCATCCCGTTCCTCATTCTCCTTTTGACATTCTTTGTCCATCTCTACCAATTGTTTATATTTTTTGGCTTGTGTATAGTGCTCGAAGTTTAAACCTAGCATTGCAAGACTAAGACCAATAATTGCAATACAAATGCATATGATTTGTATTTTGAAGTCGGAGCGCGTCTGATTCGTGCCGGAGGTATTTACGTCCGTTTGGATCGTTTCGGGGATTGATTGATTGATTGATTTAATTTACGTCCATCTTCAGTCTAAGACTATATAGGACGGCTAGACCCTATAGACACTAACAGATAACTTTTTATTTTACAAAAATAGATATGTTCGATTTGGGGAAGTGAAAACAAATACTAGGGATCAATACCCGCTTATTATATGCATTGCATATAATAAGAAAATATGAATATCAAGGGTTATAAAAGAATTACCCCTTTACCCTCTTTTTCCTTTACTACTACTTTTTCCTCTTCCACTACTGCTACTACTTCTTCCTCTTTTATTACTTCTTCTTTTTCAATTATTTCTTTCTTTTCCATTATTATTTCTTTCTTTGTTTTTTTTTATTCAAGAGCTCTTACTAAATGCTATACCCTTGTAGCAATTTTGGTGGTATTAATGAATTTGATAACTAGTTCAATTCCTATTTTTGTATATAATAGGAATTATATAATAACCTTGGATAATGGTATATTTTTGAAAATCTCTTTTCTTTCTGTTTTATATATAGGATAACTAATAAGAAGATGTTGTGGTGCCTCAATATTACCACATATACATTTGTTATTAATGAATTTAAACCGATGTAAATAGGATTTAATATATCTATAACCTATTTTGAGCTGAAAGTACACGTTAGCAGTGTTTCGACTAGTTCCGTTTGGTAATTTGATTTTAAACCCAATTTTCTATAGAAATAGCTTCGAGTATATGGATGAGGATTGATTTGATCTGAGTTTGTATTAGTTAAGGATAGAAACCCATTGATCTGAAGTGTACTGCTTGATTATTATGCATAATAAACCAAAGCTTGTTTTGTATAAATTGAAGGATTTGGTAATTGTTTCTTTTGCTAGCTTATCTGCTAATTTGTTTCTTTTCATTGATGTATGCCCTAAAACCCAATTCAAGGATATTTCTGCTTTTTTTGCTTTAATAGTCTTGACTGCTTTGATTACTTATATTTGATATACCTGGCCTGGGTAGTCTGATAATGTTTTCAAATGATATAGGCCTGCCTGATTATCTGAATATACTTTGAATTTATCGCTGTGTCGAGCAATTGAGCTTGCATATTCGATAGCTCTAATAACTCCACAAAGTTCTCCATTATATACTAATTGGTTTATACCAATATTGGTTTACTTTTGATATAAGATTCGATCATTTGATTGTATTACAACTATACCTACACTAATATTAATACCTTTTAATGTAAAAGAGGTATTGGTATATATATAAATAATATTCTCATCTCTATGCTTAAAGATTATATTATGGAGAATAGCAGCATCTTCTTTTGAAGAATTACTGATATTGATTTTGAATAGGATTTCCTTTTTTATGGGGAAGAATTGAAATAAATAATCTTTTCCAATAAGGAAGGATCAAAATCCTTATTTATTGATTCTTTGATTTTATCAAATTGAGTTAGCTTGTATGGTTTTCTTTGGGAGATAGGGATCACCTCCAAATCAGTTTGATATTGAGCTAATATTCTTTTTTCGATATTAATTGAATGATTTAGCGAAAGTTTGGCTAAACAGAATATATATTTCCTAATATTTGAATCTAATCTGATATTTGAAAGGCTTAAAACTGTTTCTACCTCCATTGGAAGGATTGGGGCTGTTTTGAATACTCCTAATATCTTGCGAAAGACTAGGTTTTGAAGTGATTGTATTATATTCTTGAAATAGGTTTGATCCCTTTACCAAATGATTGATCTGTAATCTACTATATTAGTAATGTATGCTATATATAATTGTCTTAAGGCTTTAAAACTAAGGCCTTTCTCGATATTTGCTAATCTAGTTATTCGATAAAAGGTTTCTTTGGCTTGAGTGATTCGGATATTAATATGTTGATTGAATTTAAGATTTGGATCAAACCATATTCCCAACTATCTGATTAGTATTTGAGACTTAATTATTTCAGAATTAGATAATATGATTAAATATTCTTTTACTGATTTAGATGCTGAGAAATGTATTAGTTCTGTTTTTGCTAAATCGAATTGAATAGTATTCTTTGCATTTAATTCGTAGATTTGATATATTGCTTTTTCCAAGGATTTAATATTCTTTTTCTAAATAGATGAATTTGTAATTAAAGCAATATTATTTATATAGGAAAGGAATTTTACTGAATTAGGTAAAAATAGATCTCTAATATATATAAGGAAAAGGATTGGAGAAATTGGACTGCCTTGTGGTATTCCAGTAGTAATTGGCTTGAATGATTCGATTTGATTATTGAAGGATAATTTGAGCTTTCTTTATTGAAGGAATGAAACGATCCAGGATATAAGATTTATAGATAGTTTTAACCTTTTACAGATATCCAAAAGCCGATTTTTTGAAACATAATCAAAAGCT